TTTGAGCCGATAAGGCGTTGCAGTCATCGTCCGAGCTACTGAAGGAGCTATAGCATACGATATAATTACAACATTACTCTTGTCTTGTTGATGCGCCTTATACCCCATGTACCTCTGCTTTTCATATTTAGCAAAGTGACCTTGTCCGGCTGACCCCGCTTTTTTTCTGAAGATAAACTGTTATGTCAGACCAGAACGTCTCCTGACAAAGAAGTGAAAAAATCTACATGGCGCATTGCAAAAATATCTGTCCAGAAAGAAAAAAAACATTGAGTCGTTATATTTACTCAAGTGGACCACTTATTCCTTGCGTTTTGTGTAGGGTGTTTATCTGCTTCTTCCTTAAATCACAAGCCGGCACAAAATAGCCCTTCATTTATTAAAGGAAAGAAGTAGTACAGTGGTTTCCCTTGCGTCTTACGTCATGCGGTGAAAGAAAAAGGTAAAAACTGCGATTTTTTTTTTTTTTTGCGCACAACACGACAGAAACAGATGAGTACTCAACGTAACACTCAAAGGTACAGGGTGTTCTGCTGGTGCCGCTTTCCGCGATATGACATGACGCGCCTTCAAATTTCGTCAAGTATCTATTACAGGATGTTCACGTAATTCAACGACCGCCCTTCTCGCAAGCCCGCGCACTCGGTTTCCTTTTGAGGGCCCTGAAAAATTGGTATACCATTATTGTGGCACCATGCAGTTTTTAAGTGCTTTTAAGTTTGTAATCGAAAGTTAACAAGGTTTTGTTAACTCTTTGCCGGTTTGCATACATCTTGACACGATGGTATGAAATAGGCTGTGGTAAATTGATCCTCCCGAAACCTAGCAGTGGTAAATTTGTCCAATGTATTCGACAATGGCAGACAGCGTGCAACGGCTCTCGAAGTGCTTGCCTCTTCCTTAGAAGCACGTTTGCGGCTTCTACTGGGACCCTCGTTTCGTTTTAGAGAACATGGACAAAGTAGCCGTTCTCGCCTTTCCTGAATCGCTGGAAATGGCTCGACTGAGCGCAAGTGATTTTATGGCTGCTGCCTAAGGATTAGGTGGAAACATACACGTCTTTAAATATGTCTAAGTGTAATTGAGCATTCATTTGTGTTCGTAAGACCTCAAAAACACAAAAAGCACATATTAGAGCAACAAAAAGCGTAGTAGTTTCTTTCGTGCGCTGCGTATTTCCCAACGTTTGATATATTGGACATTAGGCACCAATTATAACAGGAACTCGACAGTACGCTAATGTGCTTTATCGGCGCTATGCATAAAATGGGACGTTTTTTGCTGCAGTCACCTTATAAAATTGAAAGCGTATAATATTTTGCCATCGTCATTGTCATTATTATTATTATTATTATTATTATTAGTAGTAGTAGTAGTAGTAGTAGTAGTAGTAGTATTGAAATAAGTAAATAATAAAGGCATGACCAGAAGGAAAAACTGAGGGAGGTCCTCAGTTTTGGGGGATTGCCACATTCCTGCGGCAGAGGCCATAGTAAATAAAGCGTTGCATATTCTAAGAAACGCCTTCTATATTATATCAATGCCAGCCAGATGCGCCCGATCCAGCCGTTCTCCATTCTCTCCTCTAGCCCTTCCCCGCCCTCATCAATCGTCTAGCCTTCAAGAGTGCTCTGCGGTCATGGGGAAGAGAGCCAGTGCCTCACGACGGAAATCATGCAAAGTAATGTTTTGTTCAGTTGTGTACTGATCCGTGGGGCGGCGTGTCGAATTCCTCGTGTTCACTATGTTCGCGGTCACGCTGGCCCTGTAAAAGATACGGTGTTTTGAGATAGCGTGTCGCCGTTCGTGGTGCTGTGCGGACAACCAATGGCGAAGCGTCACTGCAACGCAACTAGATGCGCTGCACCGTGATGAGGCGGTGACGTTGCTTCGAGCCACAAAAAAGGAGCATGAACGAACAAATCTGACAGACGTATGATATCGGAGTGGGAATCAAGTCTATCGCATCTCCGGTGGAAAGCGCTTGGAAGCATATTGATTGATTAATTGATATGTGGGGTTTAACGCCCTAAAACTACCATATGATTAATATGAATATGAGAGACGCCGTAGGGGAGGGCTCCGGAAATTTCGTCCACCTGGGGTTCTTTAACGTGCACCCAAATCTGAGCACACGGGCCTACATAATTTTCGCCTCCATCAAAAGTGCAGTCGCCACAGTCGGTATCGGATCCCGCGACCTGGGAGTGAGCAGCAAAGTACCTTTGCCACTAGACCCCCGCGGTGGGGCATGGAAGCATCAGTGACATAAGCAGCACGACCGCTCATATAGCGCCTCATAACGACCACTCCCTGAACTAAGGCGAACCGACGGCTCCCGTTGATAAGCGCGCGCTCTCACTGGCATTGAAGGAAAAAAATAAGGCGTTGTTCAATGTGACAACAGCAGTGACTCAAACTGGCACCAACCCATAAAGCGAGCGGCACTTCCTCCCAGGAAGGGAACTTCACGTTTATTCAAGTGAAAGCGAAACCAGCTGTTTACTCATCTCGCCATTAGAGGAGACCCCTGTAATGCATGCTTGCTGTATAATGGAGGTTTGCCGCATAAAAACCATTGAAGACAGAAGAAGGATATTATAACAATACAAACGCTGACTACCCAATAAAAGAGCGCACTGCGGCGGAAAAGAAATATAGACACAAAAAATTTTCTGCGCAAGAACTTATCTCTTCTACCTGTGTCGCCTACCTTCTTTTATCGCGAATTCTTATCGACTTGCTCGACTTTCTGTCAATAAGGACGCATTAGCATGTCCCAATACTGCGCTTTTGTAACTTGTTTTTTTCTTGCACAGCATCCTCCCGAACGAAAACAACATGTTTCACAAGGTTGCAGAAAAGTGAGCGAAGAACACACTAACTCACCAGCAGGCTTTTCGAACGACGTCCTTGTTACCCGAGTCCAGGAAAGGAGTCACCTTTTTAGCGAGTATCGTGAGGCACTTTCTCAATCCGGACAGAGCGTCGGTGCGACTTGTGGCATGTTTTTCTGCGGTAGTAGAGAAAACAGCAATGCGTTGCAGAGGAGATAATTGTCGGCGCAAAATCGCAGTAAATATAAGAAAAAGAAACGTGAATTATTGCAATGAATTTTCTTGTGTCTCGTAACATCATCCCGTTCAAGCACTTCCGCATACTTACCGTAAACTTCAATTGCCCTGCAGCTGCTGTTGACAGATCCAACCAAGTTAGCGGCCAAGGACCGAACTTCGTCGTACTGGAACAACGTCATCTGCGACCCGCATCGCCCTTCCACAATTGCACGCACACAGTCTTCGTAGGAATTCAGGAGCCTAGTGAAGGAAAAGCATCGTGTCATCCACAGTCGAGACTCAGGTTACGATGGTGTTGTTCTGTGAACACAAGAAACTGTCCACGAATTCCAGAGACTGCGCTAATGCTTCTTGGTCACAAAGAACAAGGTTTTAACATAGCTTATAAGTGTCACTATTTCTTAATAAAGAATATTCTAGTCATGCATCAGCGGGATAGCGTTCAAGTAGTATCCGAAATGTGGAGACGTAGAAGAGTAAAAAACTTACGAAGCAGAAAATCGAATGAAAACGCTCACGACCGTCGATTATCGTTAAAATAGCTTTGTCATGATGCGCCAATACTCACATGCATTCTTGAACTCTCTCGCCGGAATCCAAGTGGTGTGGAGAAAACGTCAAGTTTCTTAGTCTCAGATCACCAGAGCTGGAATTCTCCGAGTTGTCCCGTTGGAAAGCTCCACGTTTAAATGCCCCGTAACATCGAAGCACGTCGTCAACCAACGCTTTTGTAGTGCAACTCGACTCTGTCGGAGAACACGAAGGGGGGAGGGGGGGAATACCGCGTATACGTCAGGAACAGCATTTCCTTGAAGAGCAACCATTGCATAATGCTGAGATAACTATTCCGAATATTATGTTGAACGTATGAATTGATCATTGCGTTCTATCGTGTGTAACGATGAAGTGCACGACCATTCATTCTCTTCGTTTTGTTGTACTTTTATTCCTCACCTCCGTATAGCACCAATTTGACTGTCATAGAAATGACGAAGGAGTAATTGCTCAGCAGGCTATCTTTATCGTTGTCTTTGCAGTCTCTCGCTACCATCGAGCTCTCCTCCGGCTTCCTCCGGCTATCATATTTTCAGCAATATAAGATTTTTGCCCTAAGAATCTTCGTAAAAGTCAGCTGCCGACCAATCGTGCTGCTGAACATAATGGCGAATGTCTTTATTGCATCGACCAAAAGCAGACGCGCATCTCTCGCAGCAGAAATCACGTGAACTGATTTGGAGCGTTGTTGCGTGGTTGTTAGTATATACTGAACTTTCACAAAACAACCCAAAGCAGGACATGGATATGACGTCACCACCAACTCAACCATTTAGCCGATGCCGGTGCCTAGGCAGATTCTCGAACAACACACATTTCTTCATTATCTTCACATGGTTGCACCAGACTCTAAAATTTAATCAGACAGCAACGAAAAATCACAGCGGTATTGTTAAACAAGGCTAAACGCATTTCGCTAAACACAAAATCGTGGTTGAAGAAATTTCGATTTTGTTCGCAGGCTTTAAGGCCAACTCCGGAGATTTTTTTTACGATATCAGAATAATGGTGCATTTATGTTCCTGAGATACTGTTGTCACGTGCCTGATATCTAAAATGTTCGACAAATTCAAGAAAAAATTTTAATTACCGAAAAACCAATATATCCAAACCGAAACACAACTGAGTGCTCTTCTACGTGTGACGTGATCATTTGCTCGACGCTGGCCGAAACCTGTGTGACGTAATCATTTGCTCGACGCTGGTCAGAACCTGCCCCATGGCGCATAATGCCCGCCAGATGGCACTACTTGTTCCCGCCGTCCTCGGCAATCGGCTAACACGCTTACGCTGCCATGGTGAATAAATGGCGAATCGTGTGTGACTCACAACGCAACACCACTTGCCACCTATCGCACAGCCCCCAACATGGAAAAGGAAATTGCATCCTCAACCAAGGTAGCGCCGGCCAAACCCACACAATCCATAGCAGACAAGTAAATATTGCAGTGGCAGGCACATTAGTTCCGTCACTTCCGCCAGGCGAAACTCAACGTCACAGTCACAATGTTGTCATTAATTCTGGCAAGTGAGGTGGGCGTTTCGAGGCAAGCTGCGAAATTCATTTGAAAAGAACCTGCGAAACTCTCAAGCCTGCAATTTGGCATCAATAGCGCAAACTTGCAAATGAACGTACCCAGTGAATTTCATTGAGTTCCACTGACCTCGAAAAATCGCCGTAGTTGGCCTTTAAGAAGCGCCGCAGAAATAGCACAAGCAGCTGACCCTAAATTCATAGACTAATGAACGAACATTTGCGAATAGCCTGCGCTAAGCAAGCGTTAGTTGCGGTCGCCCTATTTCCGTCTCTTAACGGGGACCCACAATCGGGTAGCGTATGACGCGCGCTCAGAGGCGGCAAATGCTAACGCAGAGCTTTGCACACACTGTTTGAAACATTACTAACATCATAGCAGGCACGTTTCCACGTACTATCTTCTCGACAGCGAACAATATTCACCTGATTCAGCGATGAACGTTACCTAATCTCAACACCACCATCTGTCGCACCAATGCGGTATTCCGCGTAACAGGTAACAAGTACTCAGAGTTTGCCAACAATAAAGAGCAGCAGCACCAACTAGTAAACCCAATTTCTTTGTTTTTCTTTTTTTTAGTAGAGACCACATCTTCCTTGCAAACAGTTTGCCACGTTTCATTACAACAGCCTCATATAAAACTACCAGAACAAATGAGATTAACATTAACGTACCTGTGAAAACTCTCACGGGAAAGAAGCACGCAAAGACGATAAGAACCAACGATACAAATTGCAACAGAAGGCCTAAGAGGGCCCACCACCTTGCTGCACGTATCAACCTGCCAGGAAAAGACAGATCAACAACTCTGTTAGGTCTGAAAACACGAACTTGCATCATAAGGAATGTCATGTGTACTTACATGACTCATCGACAGCTGACGTGGCTTTTCCTGTCAGCGCTCAGCATGCAGTTCGTGGCACCGAACGTCACGAACAGGCCTGGTTCCAGAAGCCACGCGCCGGGCTCGAGCACGCGGTCGTTCTTCTTCTTCTTCAGCTTTCACTGATCGAGGTTTCACTTCCACGTGCTGCAGAAACAAATTGGCGAAGACAAGGAACACTCGACAAAAATAGATGCAGACATGTAATAACAACATAAACAAAAAGGAAGTGATATGTGCAGTAAAAAAAAAAAGCAGCGCATGCTATTATAATGCCAAGAGGTACATATGCACAGATGGTGCCGTTTTTGATAAATTTGTGTCAAAAAAACAGCTTTTAAAATTTATGATGATGATACCTAGGGTTTCACGACCCAAAACAACGATATAATCTTGAGAGAGGTCGTATTGGAGGACTCCGCAAATTTCGATCATCTGGTGTTCTTTAACGTGCATTGAGATCGCACAGTACACGAGCCTCCATGATTTCGCCTCCACCGAAATGCAACCGCTGCGGCCTGGATCGAATCCGCGAAACTCGGGTCAGCAGCCGATCACCTTAACCACTGATCCACAATGGCGGACAGATTAAAAATAAACAGAAAAATTATTTGCTTGCTATGAGTACCAGGCCACTGTTGTTTCTATATAGTAATAATATGTGGTGTTTTACAACCCCAAAACAACAAGATGATTATGAGAGACATCGTATTAGAGGGATCCGAAAATTTCGATCGCCTGGTTTTCTTTCATGTGTACTGACAGCGCAGAGTACAGTGGTTTCTATTAAAATGAAACGGCAGATTCATCCTCAAGTGGACCAGTAATCGTTGTACCCTGATGTGGATTACGCAACGGAGTTTTTCACGAAATGATTTCAACAAATGATCACTGTTACAAATTTCAGCATTTTTCACCTGCAATGTTTATAGACAGAAGAGGGTAAGTGTCCTTCGGCAAACAGAAGTCGCCCGCACCAGCTTACGCTGTGGCATACTTCCCAGATGACTACTCACACTGAGTTGTCTCATGATGTCCCCTCAACGAGAGTAAAAATTGGGGGACCCTTAAACTACGCCTATAAGAGTTCAACGTGATAGCGATATCTTGTTCCTATAGTGCGCACTGAGTTCAAAATGTCCTGTGTCAGTGAAGCTTTCGCATACGCCTGCTTTCGGTGTAATGGGTAGTGTGGTATAAGGCGTCGCTACCGACTACAGCGCTGTGCGGTGGCACGCGCTCGGTGGCCGCCACGGGGGAGAAAGAAGAAGATGAAATAAACAAGATGTCTCCGTTTATGCTGTGCTATTCATTATGCACGATGTAACATATTTTGGCGACGAGGATTCACCAGCCCATGTGCTACCGGCCTGAACCTCATCTGTGCCCTCGTTTATTGCCTACCATCTTCTACGATGAGTATTTCGGGGCTACAGCCGCCACCTCCGTTCCTGTCGTCACCTGGACACCCGGACATTCCATGGGAGCAATGGATCCAGGCTTTCAAGAATTACATGGTTGCTTCGGGCGCCTTCGACCTACCTGCCATTCGTCGGAAGGCGATCCTGCTCAACTGCTTGGGCTTGGAAGGACAACGTATCTTCCAGACTCTGACGACTACTGACGACCCGTGCCTCGTGCCTGCGAGCGCTGCGGCAGGTACACTGACGTCCCCTAGTCCTGATGTGTTCGACCGCGCCATCGCGACGCTGGAAGGTCACTTCAGCGCGTCACCGTTTCCGTCAACGTACGCAGGCCCCAGGTGAGACTGCGGCTGATTACGTCACCGCGCTGAGAAGTCTTGTAGGAGCATGCAATTTCGGTGATCTAACGGACGACATGATACGCGACCAGCTCATAGAGAAAACCACAAGTGGATACTTACGTGAACGCCTTCTGCTGGAAGAGTCTCTCACGCTTTCTAAGGCTCTTACCATTGCCAAACAGCATGATCAAGCGACTAATGAAGCAAGAGAACTTGCACAAAATGACTTGCAAGTTCATCGTGTAAAAGATACTTCAAATCACAGAGAACGGCATTGTAGCACATGTACTTGCTATAACATGCACGGTCAAAGTCGCATATCTCCGAAAGAGCAAGTATGTTATCGTTGTGGTTCTACGGCACACCTTGCAAATAGCTCTCTGTGCAAGGCCAAAGCACATAGGTGTCGACAATGTGAGAAAATTGGCCATCTTGAAAAGGTGTGCAAGTCATTGCGGAAGTTTGAGAAGAATGTTCAGCATGTAGCGGAAGGTAACGATACAGCTGATCCAGACGACCATTTAAGTGTTTGTCAGATCTGGAGCCGTAAGAAGGGAATTTACGCAGCGTTGGAAATAGAAGGAATTTCTGTACCATTTTTGATCGATACAGGATCATCGGTTTCGATCCTGGCCGAAGAACTTTACCAACGCTATTTTTCTAAAGCGTATCCACTGAAGTCTACATCCGTCCAGCTTCTCGATTATTCAAAGGCAGCAATTCCTATACAAGGATGCTTCATTGCTACTGCCTCATTTCACGGCCGATGCACTTCTGTTCTACTATACGTTGTGCCTGGGGGAACGACCATTCTGGGATTAGACGGCATCGCTGCTCTGGATATGAAGATCCAAGGGTCACCGCTCAGGTGTCTTCTAATGACGCAAGAAACTCCGGTGCTACCTCCAGAATTACGTTCTGAGTTTGAGCACCTATTTGCAAAAGAGCTGGGAACTGTGAGAGGTTTCACTCACAAGGTCAGAGTTCGCGCGTCTGTACAACCGGTGGCCAGCAAACTGAGACGACTGCCACTTGTCATTCGCGAGCAAGTCTCGGCAGAAGTTCAGAAATTAGAAGCTCAGGGCATCATTGAGCGTGTCGACTCTTCTGAGTGGGTCTCCCCTATTGTCGTAGCCAGAAAAAAAGACGGCTCGATTCGCATGTGTGTTGACTTACGGGAGCCAAACAAAGCTGTGGTAGTAGACAGTTTTCCTTTGCCACAAACTGAGGAGCTCCTGAACAGCCTGGCTGGGGCACAGCGTTTCTCGAAGCTAGACTTAGCTTCTGCATATCACCAGTTACCGCTCAGTTTAGAGAGCCGTGACCTTACCACGTTCATCACTCACGATGGACTATTTCGCTTCAAGAGGGTTTGCTTCGGACTGGCGTCGGCGCCATCAGCGTTCCAGAAAATGATGCACATGATCTTGAAAGGGTGCAAATGTGTCCTATTTTACATTGATGACATCATCGTGTATGGGCGATCCCGAGAGGACCATTTGGGAAACTTGCGCGCTGTATTGCAACGTCTTTCTGATGCTGGCCTCCGGCTCAACAACAAGTGTGTCTTTGACGTGGCAGAGTTGACTTTTCTAGGTCACGTTGTGAGCGCCAAAGGATTATTTCCGTTGATGTCATCCATTGAGGCGATAACAAAGGCACCATCACCTACAAATATTAACGAACTCCGCTCGCTACTGGGGCTTGCAGGCTTCTATTCCAAGTTCATTCCTCATTTTTCGGATGTTGTCGAGCCAATGCGCGCCTTGCTACGAGGACAAGCCTCTTTCGTTTGGAGTGCGGCAGCACAGAGCAGTTTGGAGCGCCTGAAATCTCTGCTCACATCTTGCGAAGTGCTTCATCTTTTCGATCCTCACTTGCCTGTGTTCGTTACAACTGATGCTTCAGGATATGGATTAGGTGCAGTACTTCAGCAAGACAACGGGACCTCACTGCAAACTGTCGCATTCGCCTCCCGCACACTTCAACCGCATGAGCGGAAATACTCAGTCGGCGAACGTGAGGCCCTTGCCTGTGTTTGGGCTTGCGAACACTGGCACGTTTATCTATGGGGACGACCTTTCATCTTACGAACGGATCACGCAGCGCTGGTTACGCTTCTTTCGACGAAAGGCACCGGTCACCGACCATTAAGGATTGCGCGCTGGTCCTCACGGTTGCTCTGCTACAAACTATACCGTCGAATACAGGAAAGGTAGCGAAAACGTCGTGGCTGACGCTCTCTCCAGGCTACCCGTCCAGAGTTTAATCCGCGATGCACCAGAAGAGGAATTTATCTGTTTGTTGTCTCCCGTAGTTACCATGCCAGAACTTCAAGAAGCAAGTGCCAATGATCAGATTATCTGTGAAGTTAAGCACTTCACGACTACTTCCTGGCCTGACAAGAAATCACTGTCAAAAGAATTGCTACCTTACTTTTACGTGAAGGCTGAACTCTCTGTTGTAAGTGATATCCTATGCCGGGGTGACAGGATTGTCGTGCCTGCAACGTTGACACGCCGCCTTATGGATCTGGCCCACGAGTCACATCCAGGCATTAGTCGTACCAAAGCTCGCCTGAGAGAGTCCTATTGGTGGCCATGCATGGATAGTCACATTGAAGAACTGGTGCGCACATGCGTGATTTGCCAGTCTTGTGACAAGTCCGCACGTACCTTTCCAGCGCCACTGCAACCTGTTCCTCTTCCTGACGCGGCGTGGGAAAAAATTGCCATCGACATTGTGGGACCTTTCACGCAAGCTTCGGCCGACTGCCGTTTTGCGATTACTGTTATTGACTATTATAGCAAGTGGCCTGAAGTGGCGTTCGTGCGAGATGCGACCACGTCTACAGTGAAGAAGTTTTTACTTGAACTTTTTGCGCGAGAAGGCTACCCACGTAGTATTGTATCCGATCATGGACCACAGTTCTCTTCAGCAAGCTTTGACGAGTTTCTCACGGAGCGTGGAATAACGCACTACAACTCTTCCGTGTATTACCCACAAGCTAACGGCTTGGTGGAGAGATTCAATAGGGTGCTGAAGTCGTACATTCAACTAGCCCTGCTTGAACGTCGTGACGTACGAACAGCCATGCTTGATTACCTGCAAGTATATCGCTGTACGCCTCACGCGACTACTGGTGCGACACCCGCTGTTCTTCTTCATCGACGCCAACCTCGCACCAGACTTGACATATTGGGATTGCCCGACAGATGCTTCAGCACGGACCCGTCAAGGGCGATTGAACAGCTACGAGAGCATGTCAAAAAGAAGCAAATGATCTCGAAGAGCTACACCGATGAAAAACGTGGAGCCAAGGAACCCAGTTTCGTCGTTGGTGATTACGTGCGCGTTAAGACAACTGCAGCTCACGGTAAGCTGTCTTCACAATTTTCCGCGCCCAAGAAGATCATTGGAAAACGGGGACCGGCCTCGTACCTTTTGGACGATGGGCGTGTGTGGAACGCATCTAAGTTAATCGCAGTTCACTCCGGAGCGGTCAACAAAATGAAATCGGGCACCCCTGCTGTTATGAACTGGACACCTGCATTTAATCGGTCTTCTCATGCATTACAGCCTGAAACCGCTGCCCTTATGAACTGGTCCCCTGCATCTGATCGGTCATCTAGTGCGCCCCAATGGGACACATCAAGAGCGGATGGTCATGAAAGGGCAGACCCCGTATCATCTCCACCAGACGGCACGCAAGCTTTGACCAGTCCAGGATTTAATGCGCCTGCAAGGAAAAGCAAGCGTAAAAAGAAGACCCCAAAGAAATTGAAGGACTTCGTTAGGAAGTAGACAAAAACAGTTTTGTGTGTTTCTACCATTTATTTTTATTTTATTTTATTTTTTTTTTTTTGCAAGAGGGGATATGTGGTATAAGGCGTCGCTACCGACTACAGCGCTGTGCGGTGGCACGCGCTCGGTGGCCGCCACGGGGGAGAAAGAAGAAGATGAAATAAACAAGATGTCTCCGTTTATGCTGTGCTATTCATTATGCACGATGTAACAGGTAGCATGCTTTAAACCGAGACAATTGTACGCGTGGAATCCTTTCCAGCTTCGTTAAAACCCACTACGTGGTCTCAAGGGAACAAGCGCAGAAACGTGTGTACCTTTTGAATTGGGTGGCCCGCTTTAAACCGTTAAGTCATGCTAATCATGATAATCTGACGCTCGATCGCAATGTGCGCTTGTATTATGCATTATTACTGCCCCGCTGCGGTGGTCTAGTGGCTAAGGTACTATAGGCTGCTGACCTGCAGGTCGCGGACTCGTATCCCGGCTGCGACGGCTGCATTTTCAGTGGAGGCGGAAATGTTGTAGGCCTGCGTGCTCAGATTTGGGTGCACGTTAAAGAACCCCAGGTGGTCGAAATTTCCGGAGCCCTCCACTACGGCGTCTCTCATAATCATATAGTGGTTTTGAGACGTTAAACTCCACATATCGATCAATCAATCAATTAACATAAAACATCATTAGTACTTTGTTTTTGTTGTTTTTATAAAAATAATAGTAAGCAGTATTGAAGTGCTCCTTGAAATTTCGTGCTACGATTTCTTGGCCAATCCCTCATAGTGGATATGTGCCTTAATATAGAGGAAAAAACACCTAACATCAACCATGAACGCTGTCGCGCTCTTTACCTTCGAAAGCAGAATGAGCCAGCAGCCATCATCTGAAAGCGGTTCCCACACAAATACGTGTATGATGAATGTCACCAAAAAAAAAGCAATCTCTATGGCAGCGCCCCAAACCTACGAGCCATTGTTGCAAGCAATAAAGAGTTTTCATAGTTGCAAAAAGAAATATCGGGTTTTGGAAATACAAGCTCCTCGGCAGATGAAAAATTACGAAACACCATTTGCTGTTGCTGTCGTTGGCAATATTTTTACGGTTGTCTTCAGTATGGCTTGAAGTACGTCACAATTTGAGCTTCACCGTAGACCTCAGTTCGGCTCGCGAGCGAGACATCGCCTCTGAAGTGAAAAACGAAGACCCAACGAGCGCGCGAAGGGTGCACGAGGTGCCCGTGTCACATTGCTGGCCGTTGGTGCAGACGTCACGCGCGCTCGCTCTTGGAACGCTCGGAGCCCGTCGGTCGGCCTCTGGTCCCGCTCGTTCCGACAGGCCGAGACCCTTCCAGCTTCGCCCTTTCAGGACAGGTGAGCCACCCCTTGCGACCTCTCGCCCTGCGGGCAGCGTGTGGCCCCGTCACTGTTTTTAGTGCTATCTGAGCAGCCTAAGACTTAGGCCTAGCTAGTAGTTGCTTCGTTAGCCATTAGGGCGTAGGCGAAATCGGTTTTCCTTATGTCTTCGTCTATTCTTCCAGCAGCTGGAACAATTACTGTAAAGAATCTCTCCCGACAGCCACCTCAGACGTATTCTCAGAAGTGGCGTTTATCGTACGCCGTTGGCCCTATCTTCGTAACCCGCTGCACTCATTAATAGCTTGGTCCGAGTTAGCCGAGACACGCTTCATAAATATACCTGAGACTAACGAAGGTGAGTTCAGCCGATTCGTGTAATGCGTATTGCAAACAACAAGCAGCGAGCGACGTTATCTGCTGCCAAGAGAAGGGAAATGAGCTTAATTATTGGTGTGGCGACAAAAGAAAATTCATGGTATAACTGTCGTTCAAGGGCATAAATTCGTGCGTTTGAACGACAGTTATACAGTTACAAGAGCCTGACTCAAGACAGGAAGAATTTGAATGATCAGGGAGTGGTATTTGTCTCACGCTGAACAATGGAGTGCGATGGCGATGACACATACAGTGCTGAATCTTTGCTTAAGGGCCATAAACCACAAAAAAGTACTGTAAGAATAATACTGGAAGCGTACTCTTGCTTCATCTTTTTTATTTGGTTCGTGCAGGCTAAGGCACGTGCAGCACGTGCATACGCCGGAACCAGGCCGTTGCTTCGAAGTGGTTCCAACGGGCAGCGCATCATGCGGTTTGTCTGCGCTCTCCTGCTAGCCTTGGCGGTCGCCACAGGCAGCGCAAGATGTGCCCTCCTGGAAGACAAGCGGGTGGACGCACTTGGAGTCGAAGAAAAGACCAAGCCAGGAAGTGACGGTGAGTCGGATTCGTTCATGATGCGGCGCGCCCGCGATAACACCACAGTAAAATATCTTGAAGTACGTCGCACACACAAGTGTATGTACTTGTATCGGCAGCTCGGACGCAGGCTACTGGCTGTTTGTTTCTTCAACTTCCGTGCGTTATGGCCTTCAATAGGCAATGTGACACTGAGCCAACCCGGCGCTTAAGAAAACTTGGCTTTATAGCAATTCCAACCGTTTGCTGAGAAATAATGGTGGCAATTAGAATTGTCACACCCGGCCCACATAACGTCGTTGCCCGACGGGCAGAAACTGCTGCACGGTCGAGGCGGCAATGCTCAAAAAACCGCTCTTCTCACCGATAGCGCGTGCGCTGACCCTTTTGCGTACCTTTTCAATTACTTTCATATACCACCTCTGCACACGTGCTGCAAATGGCATTTGCGTTTTCTTTTAGGGGCAAAGCTCCTTATGGTATAGGGCAGTTCATCCCTCCGGCGTAGCCATCACAGCATATCCACAGACAGACACGGACGGACGGATGGACGATTCATCCTACTCATCATCGTTCATTCTGTGGATATGCTGTGATTTTTTTTAATATTATGTTTCTGGCACATTCCTATTTGCCCCGCCGTGGTGGTCTAGTGGCTGAGCTACTCGGCTGCTGAGCCGGAGGTCGCGGGATCGAATCCCGGCTGCGGCGGCTGCATTTTCAATGAAGGCGAAAATGCTGTAGGCCTGTGTGCTCAGATTTGGGTGCACGTTAAAGAATCCGAGATGTTCAAAATTTCTGGACCCCTCCACTACAGCGTCTCTCATAATCATATGGTGGCTTTGGGACGTTAAACCCCACATATCAATCAATCAAAATTCCTATTCTGCTCAATATTTTTGAAGTTGACTTTCAGGACGCTTATCATGCTCCCAGGTATGTGTGTGTGAGGGGGGGGGGGTGTTGGTGCTCTAAGTGGTTCACGTGCGGTTTGTCTGCGCTCTCCTGCTAGCCATGGCGGTCGCCACAGACAGCGCAAGATGTGCCCTCCTGGAAGACAAGCGGGTGGACGCACCCGCTTGTCAGCGTGGCGTAAAAAGGGCGCGCCAAGGCAACCGGCACTTTTAAGCTCAACCTGCGGCCAACATGTATGCAGACTAGCAATCTAAGGCTGTCATTTGTGCGATCACGTGGCTGCGCTAGCTCTCGAGCCGCTCGTTAGCCGCAGTGAGCGATAGGTATGCTATTATAAAGCAAATACAGCGGCAGCACATGTCACCTGGCGGTCACCTCACACTATATGACGTCGTCTTGAGATCTAAAAGGCACAGGTTTCTGAAATGAAAAGAGAAAGGACGGAAAAGACCGCATCTTTGTTATAATCGTTACCGCGGCTCTTCCCATAAATCCACTTAACAAAAACTTAATTTTCGCTCTCGCTGTTTTCGCTGGCTTGACTGACAAGGGAAAGAAGTAATGCAGGTCTTAGTGCCAGAACCTTTATATGATTGAGGCCCGCTGCAGTGGGACCTTCCGAGTAAATGTGGCCACCTGCAGGTTCCTTAACGTTCACTCATAGTCCACAGGCCTGCATGATCTTGCTTCACGCGTATCGCTGAAGGAGCATGATTATTTGCGTTGTTGCATACCACGCCACCGACACGGTGGGAACGCGCTTCGTAAGGGTTATTTTTTGAAAGTGTGGCAATGAATGAAATTTTCAGCATTATCGTTTTAGATACTTTAAGTGTAAATGTCTCTCATAATCATATGGTAGTTTTAAGACGTTAAACCCCACATATCAATCAAGTGTAAATATCATAGAGCTCAGCTTTAATGAGCTGATCTTTAATGAGCTTTAATAATCTTTCTATTCGGGCAAGTCACTGCTGACGGACAATAACTGTATATTGACGTTTCGTTAGAAATGACAGCTCGGAACTATTCACAGGTGGAGCATTCAGTGGCCTGTTGAAACGTTTGCGGAAGACACGCGTTTGCAATGTCATGCCATGCCATGTAACAATCGTGAATCGGGTGTGGCACTGCCTATTGCTACAAATAAACTCTAACCTGGTTCGTCCTGGTTCGCGAACTCTTCACTCTAGCACGAATCCAGAAAGGACAATTATACAGGCTGCAGCTTTTAACTGTAATGTGCACTATATATTCATGACATGTTCGGGTTCTTCCTTTCTCAACAGCAAGTGATCACCCAGAAAAGCCAGGTCCCAGTGACTGCGACAAAAACAAGTTTCGGGAAGGCATCAATAACTGTGAAAACGGGTTGAAGCCCCTAGAAAAATATCTCTCAGAGAAGAAGAACGACGACTCTTGCAAGTAAGAATGATTATTTTTCTATTATAAAAGGCATTATATTATATAAGGCATTATATATTATACTATATTATATTGTATTGTATTATATTATATAAGGCAAGATGTTGGCGTTTAAATATGGGCTCCAAAGTTGCACCTGGATAAAAAAAAACAAGGACAGCATACACTGCTTCACGTTTAACTTCAGCGACCAAGAGTGCGATGGAGGATGGCCTGAGCTTCTCGGTCAGACGAGTTTGCTCCGAGATTACTCAGCGGTGGCCATGGCATGAAGTCAGTGCAGAGCGCGTGATATCAGCGTTGATAAAAATGGCCACAGGAACGCGCGGGGTGGTGGAAACGCATGTGGACATTTGCGACCGTTATCAAAGAAACACTGCGTAAGAACACGCCAGCGCCACCACTCAGTAAACATTTTGACGGAGCAGTGACGTCAGCGTGATTGTCGCGTTATCTTTTTGCCAACTCAACAAGCGCCTCCCACAGGCGTATTCGCGGGCGTATGTCTTCCTTCGGGCAGGTTCTTTCGTTCCACCTGCAGCATGAAAATTTTCACTCTCGAAGGCAGCAAGGATGCACACGCAGCACTCTCGTGCTCCTCGTTTCGCTTCTATGAAATATTGGAGATATATATAAGAACAGGTGGTGGTCACCAGGGGCGCTCGCATCATGGTGGCAATGCGGCTGTGATTTGATTTTTTCGTGAGCACTGTAAAATTGAATGCGAGACATCGTAGGCGCGAGTCAATATCACTTTTACTTCTTCGTGCGTGTGTGCATAGTCTGCACGATAACTCTGATAGATTAATCGTACCACTGGACGGAGTACTGCTCCTCGGCACGAGCAGACGTGGCGGGAGTACCCGATCTTCACCGCGGGCGTCCGTAAATCAAACTGATTGACGCGTGAGCTCGGATACAAACTCGTTTATTTTGAGAAGGACCGAGTTCAACTCGTGACTGTGATGTTGCTGGTGGGACGGTCAAACGTTTGATGCAGTGAACGGTAAGCGGCAGCTTCTTTGCATATAAGATGATTTGGTGAGCTTACACTACTTGTGCAAGGCTGGAGACAGAGGAGCTTGTGATAACCTAGATTCTTGCAGCCTTTTAAGTTGGTTATCTACTCTTGTGCGTGGTTGGCTTCGAAGTGAAGACGGTATCAGCTCTGTCTTAATTCTGTACTATTTGACTGAGGCTTAGCGACCATTACACTGAGCTGTCTTGTCTTCATAGATAAGGCTGCAATGAAAAGGCAATTACCTCGGGCGCAATCAGCAATGCCATAATCAGAATGGAGCTCTTAAACGTACTCATGATTAGCAAAATACTAATTGTATTGATATTAGTAAGGGCCAATTAGTATGGTTGTATTAGCGTACTCAAAATTAACGTCACGTTAATTAGCATAGTTTAGTTAGCTCATCACCTAGCATGCTTTAGTTAACCCGGCTCTATAGCTTTACATGGCTTCATTAGCACGGTCTTCTTAAGATGTGGAGTAACAACCTCGGCCCTACCATTTCTTGGTCATAGCATGTCCTAGCCTAACTAATCAAGTATACCATTCTTCTAAATAGCTAATCATCCAGCCGCACGTGCTCGTGTGCTAGCAGCCGATGACAACAAAGACGATGTGCACCGGCCGAGCAGCGCGCTAGAATGTACAGGTTGACCATGATGATTAACACGTGGCCTCGGGTTTCGCTGCAATCGCGATGTTGTAAGACGCTCGGCCAGTACTGATCTCGGAGGCCACCATGCTGACTGTTCTAAGGCAGACTTAGTGCAGGCATTAAAAACTTAAAAATATATTCAAATACCCCCTGCCTCTAAAAATAACATCAAGAAAAGTTTCTCACAATTTTATTCCATGGGTGACCTTCTGCACGCAGTGGAACGACAAACAAATGAAACACGATGCCTCTGGTTTGGTAACACCGCCCTCCCTATAGTCGACCGGCCTTGACGCGATGACTGGTTTCATCGTAACCAATGAAACGCAGCGCTCTCATATGTGGATTTGACTTTTTCGTACTGTTAGCTCGTTCATAAGGGGCTGTCGCCAGAGTTCGGGAATATCCAAACTCTGATTATCGGCCGAGTTTAGCGAAACTCGGCCGATCCTGCATAGCGTCCCAATACCGCCCAATACTGCTCTTGTTTAGGGTTTACGCTTCCGTCTGTGTGCTCTTTCGTTTGTATATGAAACTGTTATCACTTATGTAACATTCGTATAGTTTAGTAAGTCCTGAAATATTTTATTGTGTTGTCATTTTTCTTTCAGGCTTCTCAAGATCTACCTATCCTGCATCGAAGACTTCCAACTCTTCCTGTCTTGTGAAAATGACCCTGCCTCAAAGAAGGAACTGGCCAAAGCAACCAGCATTATCGTCAAAAACCGACTGAACTGTACAGAATGTAGGTGAACGCTTCTTAACGCAGCAGCTACGCATACTACAAAAGGTCTCCTCTTCCCTTCCAGTGACGTTCTTGACGGCGAATATGACGACCAAGATTCCCCCACAAAATGCAGCTGGTTCTGCTGGTTCTACTGCTCCTGTCAACCATACCACGACGGCTGCAACCAAAAGTATTCCAGAAATAGCATTTCGCATTGTCTGCTAAGACTAGCAATTACCTTGTAAAGTCAGGGGGGGGGGGGGCGGAAAGAGCTATAAATATTTTTTCGCATCTTTCGCGCAGCCCCTTTGGTGACCAAAAAGTGCAGCGAGCGGAAATTGATGCGCCGCATGGTTGATTGTCTGAAGACTATGAAAGGTAACTTGGAGCCCTTGCTGGACAGCAAGAAAACCAACCAGAAGCTGATTTGCGCGTAAGCACCTCATTCATTCTTAACATATACAATTACCAGCTGTCAGGCGGCAACGCTAAGATGATTTTATGTTTCAAAGGCAAACCGAGAACTTCAAGTCATGCGTTAACCTCGCCCTCGCCCACACGGACTGCAACTCGGACGAAGAAGTACTGGACCAGACGACGCACTTCATCGTGCACGTTCTCTACGAACACCGCTGGGCTTGCAAAAGCATTCAGAGTAAGACGAGTGTCTCGTGCAGTACCAACGCCGGCCCCCAGTGAGTGCACGTCCTAAGGTTCCCTTTCTTCTCCTCGCAGCCAGCGACAAGAAGTGTGAAGAGCGTTCGTTGGTGCTCAAGCTGAACCAATGCGTCCGCCTCCTCAACAAAACTGTCGAGCCTATTCTAGAAGATAAGGATAACAAGCTGAACATCTGCAGGTGAATTACGTGCTTGCGACACCTTCGGGTGGGCGTCTTTTCAACCCTGCTCTCTCATTCCAGGGCGAGCGACACATTCCTGCTTTGCGTTAACGAGGCAGTCTCCGAAACAGCTTGCCGCGAGGACTCGGAAGTCATGTTTCACGTGTCCCACTTCGCGGAGAAAATTCTGCGCCACCACAAGTGGTCCTGCGACCAAAGCGGAGCTCCCTCCAACCGGCCCAGGCTTGAAAGTAAGTCTGCACTCTAGAATGGTCCCGACTTGCCACGTATACAACTCCCTTGAAAGTTACACGTTCACTCTTTGGAGAGTCGTTTTTTCTACGACTCTTTGAAGAGAAAATACAAGCGAGCGTTAACGTTTGGCTCTAAAGAGAGTTGTGTGTGCCATGTCAGCACTTGACAAAATAATAATGATCAATAACAGGTAATTGTTGTTAGTGTATGATAGCCTGAACTCTGTAAAAATTCTAGCGCATTACCTGTGTGACATGAACTGCATTTCATCATGCACCCAGATCTTCGCCAAAAGATGGATTTCCAGGGATCTGGTAACCTTACAGGTAAAAAGAATGTCGCAATGACCCGTATAACTAGTCCTGGCCTTTTGTTTAGAGGTTTTAAGCCATTCTCTTGAATTAGCAGCAGTGCGGCCGCTGAATGGAATGGGGCCAACAGGGCTGGTACCGGCAGACAACATGTGCAACTTCGAAACTGTCCGGGCGGCCGTGGACACGTGCCAGCAATCTGCGTACGACCAGATCAAAAAGAAGGGCATCTCACAGCCGAAACACCTCTGCATGTAAGTGATTTTAAAGAGATTCGTCCTTGCGCCAATAAACGCCATATGTCATCATCTTAAGGCATTTTTAAAGCGTCACTGCCGTTCCCTCTTATGTCTCCCTCTTTCAACCTTTACATCCTATATTTACGTAGATGAGAAAGTACTCTGTAGTTTGTGAGATATCAAAGTCGACAAAAGTCATATAACCGCATTGTATAGTTTGGTGTGCAAAGGACATTATTACGCAGCCTAAATTAATAATTATTCGCTAGTATATGCGAATAGTTAACGACTGTAGACGTTAAATTGAACTACCAGCTTTGAATTTTTCAGCGACACGAAATTTCTTTATTATGACGTAAAGTACAGGGTGCAGTTGTACTTAAAGGCAGTGTCTAATGGGCAGTAGTAAAGTTTCGTTTTGAGAAATTTTTAGTAACAGTCACCAAAGTTAGCCTTCGCTGTGTTTCCTGGTCTACAACGCTTTGCAACTCTCTAATGGCCCACTGGAGTGATAGCCGCGGTACCTGAAACGTAGCGTGACATGTTGCATAGTTATTTCAACTATGTATTCTGTACTGCAGGGAACTACGCATCTTCAAGGATTGTTCCATAGAAGCGACGAAGAAGAACGGGTGCGCCAGTGACAAGAATGCCGAGACGTACGTGTACGACCGCGTCAAGGATTCCTTCTACAAGTACCTCACCGACTGCCGCCCACTCTGGTCCGCTGCTGTGCCTGTTTCGACGAGCACCTTGGCCCTCTCCCTTGTCGTTCTCATGGTGCTCGTGCAGCAGCGCGAGTAAACTTCCCGCGCCCAGAGACCAAAGCAAGCAGGGGGAACTATGGGCTCGCACCGCGAAGTGTCTCTGTGATACCCAGCTGCTTGAGAGTGGTTTTTTGACGCAATAAAGGTCTGAAAGGCAAACTGGCAGTGAAAAAGCGTACATACGGCAAGCGTGCAGGAGAACGTACGAAAAAGGTTGGAATTTGCTTATTCCCAGCAGATGCGCAGCGCATGTACGCTGCGGCTTATGTCGCTATGACATAAGCCGTTATGTCGTTACTTTGGTCCTGTATTATTTGGACGCGGCATCCGACACTTGTGAAAAAGAAAAATAATTAATGGGGCACGAAGCGTGCAGCCGAATTCGGCTACAAGGGATCATGCGCTTTCTAAGCCTTTCTATAAGTTTTTAATACTCTCAGAAATTCTACTGTTAAGTATGAACAGAAGTTACTTCACTAAATAAAAAAATAAACTATACATAGCCCTTTTGGCATACGAAGTGGGGTTTCAAGTGGTTTAAAAGAGCATAAGTTAAGTGGTTGTGCGCTCTTTGTACCTTTCGACCTTTCGTCCACCTTTACATAGTGAATTACTCCCGTTTTTTTATCAATTAGCGACTAGTATACCAAAATAATAAAATTTGAGGACCCTTAAGCTTCGTCTTTCAGTGTTAATCTCGATAGCAATATGTCCCTTGTGCGTACTTCAGCTAGCTAGCGTATACTTTTTATTGTATGAAGTTATTGACAAGTGTAGGTTGTGGATTACACAATACAATCGATAAATTTTAAAGTAATAGCTTGCGTAAGTGAAGCTTTCACACACGACTGCGCATTCTGTGTAATGGGTAGCATGTTTTAAACACCAGGCAATTATGGATGTGAAATCTTTTTGGACTTGCTATACACCCTGTATACGTGATCTTGAGGGAATACACGCAATAACGTGTGCGCCTTTTGTAATTGGTAGCCGTCTTTAAACCACGAAGTCGTTATGATAATCACATGTTCTGATGTCCGATGGCAATGTACGCTTGTAGCGCGCAATATTACAGTGAAAGTACATGTTGTATTGGGAAGCCTGTATTCAGGACGCGTGTGTTTGTAAAGCATGAACGTTGTTTTCGCAGCATTTACAAGCAGAGGATGTTATTTTCAATGTGTCTCCAAAAAGACACGAGGCTATGTGATAAAACACGTGATTGCTGGGCAAATGGCCTGGGTTTGATCCTCGCTCGGACCCGGATATTTCTATAAATTAATTTTATTTGCATCTTTCTTACTTTTTTGATCACGGATAAGGTTATTTTTCACTCACAACCAATGATGCCACGCTGACACCTACGCCAACGCCGACATGTCTGCGAAATGAGCTCTTTAGTGCTATCGCGATAAAAGTCGAAGCCTTCAAGAACCTAGAAAATATACTGTTAAGCGTGAGTTCCCCTGACGACGTCATTAAAGTGTGTTTTCAAAAGCTTGTTTCGATTCCTACTGTACCCTGGCGACAACACGGTATCACCTTCCCATCCCGTGCTAGCGCAAAATATTGTGACATTTGCACTCCCGCTCCACACCGCGTTGGTGGTGCACTAGCGGTCATTTTGACATTTTCAGCAACGCACAAGAGGTCAATATGGAAGTTTAGGTACCTGATGTCGTCACAAATAGCAAGACTGTGCGTGTGGGGATAGTTAAGTTGATTAACAACTAAGAGATATCAATTATACATAATCGATCCCTACATTTTGAATATTTGGTAACGGCAACCACCACTCTTATTCCCAACACGTACCCTTGGTCGAAGCGCATGATTGAGAGGAGAGCTATGCTGAGACGCAGAAGTCGAGTACGCCTAATCTTTTCACTGCAGCGCATATTTTTACGCTATAGTAAAATGAGCCGAATGCCGTCTGCGGCCCAACCTCACAGAGGCAGAAATGAACTCACCCTGGTCTCAGGGCAGGTAGTTATAAAGTTATAAAGGAGGGCAGGTAGTTACAAACAAGGTAGTTATAAAGTGGGAAAAACAGGTTTCCAAGCCCACAGAGGTAAAACGAAGGCTTAGGCAGGGGTGCCCTCTGTCACCCTTGTTATTCATGATGTACCTACAAGTATTAGTGGCCAAATTAGAGGGAAGTGGACTTGGCTTCAACCTCTATTTCGTCAAACAAGGAAAACTCATTGAACAGGCACTACCAGCATTGATGTACGCAGATGATATAGTGCTAATGGCCGACAACAAGGAAGATTTGCAGAGATATATGGATACCTGCGGTAATGAGTGAGATAAGTTAGATTTAAGATTCAGTAAGGAAAATCAGCAGTCATTATCTTTAATTATAATGAAGGTAGTGAACTTAGGATACAGGAGGTCACGCTAGAGATACTAGCAGCAAGATAAAATTTGAGAAGTGATTGAGAGAAATGGGGGAGGAGCGTTGGGTTAGGAAGGTTTTCAGCTACTTGTACATGAGGAATGCCGATACAAAATGGAGGAAGCGAGCCAGGAAATTGACGGGTGAATACTTAGAAAAGAGCAGGGGGCCAAATCAAAAAGAACTATCGCTTATGGTGCATTCAGACGACGGATCGAATCCCGATGTGGCGGGACGGACGGCGCGTCACGTGACCTCACATGAGCGATTCCCCTCGTCCGCGACTCGTCCGCGCGGCTCGCGGACGGATGAACCCAACCTGTTTCTCACATCGGGATTCTGGCGGGGGAGAGCCGGTACTTCAGCGGAATAGCTTGGGGTCGGTGGCAACCAGTACACTTTTCGTCTGCTCGCGGCATGTCCTCCATGGCTCGCGGACAGCTGCATGACTGGTCGGCATCATCTACGCTTGAGCATTGTTTACTTAGTTTCCGGAGACTTTGTTCTCAGGTGATTAAATATGCAGAAATCACTTTTGGTGGTTCGGCAAATGTCGCCGCCGTCGCTTAACACGCAAGATTCTTAGCCGTCATGGTGGTGAAATATTCCAACTTCGTCAACCGGCGACGTGCCGCTTCTAAAAAAGGATGGGAGACGCGTTCAGAAGTTCTACAAGTAGGGAACAGTGTAGTTGAAAGAACATTCTGCCAGCAACTCCCTTTTCTCCTGACAGAATAACACTCCTCGTTCATTTGTCACAACGCGACAGTCATCGCAATCAAGCGTCGCTTCTTGCGGGCATCCATGTTGAATACTCTCAAACCGGTCTGCTTTCAGCGGGCGCGGGTGAGTGGCGAACCTGCTGTCGAGGGTAATCCGGCTGTTTTCTCCTAGGACACCGTCCGTCGTGTGGATGCGCCTGCAGGCGGATCATCCGCGGATTAGCCGTCCGCGTCCACGACAAATCCGGATTCGGTCCGTCGTCTGAATGCACCATTAAGAGGAAGGTGAAAGAAATAGAGACCGACATGTGGAGAATCGACATGATTGAGATGTCCGCACCAGAAATCTATCAAACTTTTAAGCAAGAAATTGCCAACGAAAGGATCTATGATAATACTCAGGGTGGTTCTCTACTGTTTGAAGCCAGGATGGGAGTATTGCGAGCCAAGACATATCGGGCCAAATACGAAGGGGTAGACACGGTATGCAGTGCGTGTGGAGAGGAGGAGGAAACTGCCGAACACTTGATAATGTTCTGTAAAGGGCTTCACCCGAGAGTTCAGGATGATGGCGCAGAGTTTTTCAAAGCACTGGGGTTTAGGGACAAGGAGGGCAAAATCAACTTTAAGCGGGTAGAATTAACTAGGAGGGTATTTGATTGGTGGCTAAAGTCAAGGCACGAGTGAAAATTAAACCTTTCACTGCAAAGCACCAGTCCACAGCCTCACTATTTAAAGAAAAAAAATAAACCTAGTTTTTTGTTCACTAAGTATTACGGCTTGGTGGCGTTGGCCCCCACCCGATCTAAAGGGTACAGCCATATCAATCCATCCATCCATCCAACGTAGAGTTACTCTATATGCTTATTCAGTAACTCTAGCAGTATGTGATCACTAGATGGCGTGGACGTGTGTTGTGTGTGTTCTAGTTTTATCAGTGTTTGATAGAAAGACAGAGAGACAGACAGATAGACAGATGGAAGAACAGACAGACAGACAGACAGACAGACAGACAGACAGACAGACAGACAGACAGACAGACAGACAGACAGACAGACAGACAGACAGACAGACCGACCGACCGACCGACCGACCGACCGATGGACGAACGGATGGATGGATAGACGGACGACTGAGCTGAGGGCCAGCGAAGCTTCGCCCCACTCATCATTCACTCCGTGGATATGTTGTGAATTTTTTATGGCATGGCTGCACTTCTGCCCTCAGTGGAACGACAAACAATTGAAAGAAGTTGACTCTAGTTCGAAAACACCGCCCAAATTTATCGACCATCCTCGACGCGATGCCGGGCTTCATCGTAGGCAATGAAACGTAGCACGCTGAGGGTTGGATTGGTTTTTCCGCACTGTTAGCTCATTCAAGTGGGGGTGTCGTCAGAGGTCAGAAAGATCCTGAGTTTTCGCCAAGCTCGAGCGATCCTGCATAGTGCCCCAGCTCATACCTCGATTCTAGTTCATGCAGTTTTCTGTAGCACGCACAGCATTTCGCGAAGTATCGTTCATACACGGTAACGGAGATGAACTATAACCATTCACGCCGCGGCAAGAACTAATTAAGTGGCGAGCTTCCATGGTTTGAGGAAGTATTTTGGTCTCATGTACATTTCAGTGTAACTCATGACTTCATCCGGTGAAAGTGGCACAGACCGTACACTCGCACTGTTATGATCGGCCTTCCTGGCTCGGCGCCGCTTGGACGTGTGAGACATTGCGACTGAGCCTACCCTGATTTGTTCCGGGTCAGCGCTTCCTGAGATGCGCCAAGAGGGGCGACAACACGAAAGTCATTCTTCGAATTCACCAGGGCCATCGGCGCCCCTCGTAAAATTCTTTAAACACGCCTGACCAATTAACGGATTAAGAATAGCTGTTGACAATCGGGCCTGCTAGCTCTGTT